TCACAGCTCTCGAGAGGATGGATGACTGGTTTGCCACAAGCAGGATCAGCTTCTAAATCCTGACAAGTGCTACACTGTAAATTCAGGCATAGTAAAGATAAGGTCTTCTTCACAGCACTATTTTAATGCACAGACATACACATTTCACAACTCCTAAATGCAGTACTACTTTAAAGAAAGAAGACTACTGATTTGTTGCAAAATATATTAGAAGTGATGCAAAGAAAGAGATTCTGCTTTTTTTAATTTTACATTTCAGTAGTGACTAGCCCTGCACAATGCTCATCCCAGCAGGTCACTGGTGAAAAGAGGCTTTATAAATCTAAAACACACGAACGTCTCCCAAGTTTTTGGATGGTAAATCTTTCACTCCACTTCAAATCCACTTCGGTCCTAAAAGGATTTGGGTCAAATGGAAAAACGACTTACAGAATTCACTGTGCAAGTGACTGACACTCAGCTACGCAAAGACTAAAGGGAAACGCTTTTTGGAGCTCATGCGTGACGCTGCAGAAGTAAACTCCTAGGAACAGCAAAAGCTCGCTCTCTAAACATGTTTTCCCTTCATTGGCCAAACCAACGGAGGCAGCTGCCTGCACGTCAAACCGAATGCAAGCTCTGCTATATCTCAGGGAGGCACACGTGCATCAACGCTCGCTTTCGGTCCCTGCAATGCCAGGCACCAGCGTAACCTACTTAGCGTGGGATGTTCAGTGTCACCCACTAACAAAGTGACACTCTGCTTCCCAGTGTTTGCTAAACTACTGAACACACAAAAATTTACAGATGCATCAACTTTTCTTTCTTTTTTTTTTTCTACAAAAAAAAAAAAAAAAGTATCCCAGACAGCAATTCTCTCACAAGCTCTCTCGGGAAAATAAAAAGAAAAGGTCCAAATACCAGCTCATGCAAACTTTTTGAAAGAAGCTGGTTTCGTTCAGACTAGTACACGTAACCAATTTCAACATTTCACCATCGCCTCGTATAGCAAATGCCAGCCTGACATTGAAGCATTGAGTCACTGCACTGTATTTCAGAATTTATCTTAGGGTCAAGTTAATGTTTGAAAAGAAACAAATGAAGCTGATAGTGCTGGGTAAACAGTGACTTTCTGTTTGGGATACGCCTGCTCCTGTTTGCCCTGTGTAGGGCTGGGAAAAAAAAAAAGAAAAAAAAATACAAACCCCCCACAACTCCTCCCTACTGTGGGATCGTCCCAGCTGCAAAGTACTATGAAAATTATTAATTGCATAAACTGATCTCAACACCTCCTGGTTTCAAAGCAACTGGTCATTTAGAGCTTGGGATCCTGAGACTTTTTAGGGAAGCAAAGTGTTGAACTGAGAACTAAAAAACAATTTAAAAATAGGTGTACAAACATATTAACTTTGACAGTTTCCCATACCAAGCATCTGGCTTGATATGTTGGCACAGGTCATCTCACCAAGGAGCAAAAAAAAAATAAAAGGCCGCAACCTGAAATCTCTCTGAACGTGCCCACCTCTCACTGAGGGAAAAAGAAAATGCAGGTACCTTGCCTTAGACAAAACACGGTCAATTTTTTTATAGATACAGCCTTAATTCTTCCCTTGTGAAGAACGGCATGACAAACTTTTGTTCAGTTGTGCTGGACTCTGTTAGTCGAAATACATAAGAAGAAACAGTGAGCCCAATTTTTTTATTGATTTCTCCAAGTAAGCTATATATTATGGATTTATCCAAGTAAGCTATTTTGAAAAATGTGAAGTGTATTCAAGGAAGCTACAATATTCACAATACAGCCAAGAAATCGTTGTGTTAAGGCAATGCCAGCTTTACACAAGAATATGAGACCATTGCTCCTAGAATTCAATCTATTAATTCTATACTCTCAAACCAAGTAATAATAAAAATGCATTTATTAACTCCACATGAGTCAATTGCCAATTTCATCAGAACTTAGGCACAGATGTAAGATGGAAACAGTCAGTCATAAAAGCACTACATGTTAACTGAGGGTTTTTTTTTTCACACATTTGACAGTTCTGAAAGTTACCAAGATACATGGCAGCAGATTCTTCCTCTCTCTCCCCCAAAATCAGGCAACTATAGTGGTATATTTTTTTTCTTAAACGTAATACCAAAAAAGGGGAAAAGAAAGGGAAAGCTTCATTAAAGTTCTTTAGCTTTCCTCACTCTTTCTCAGAGGGTAAGCAAAGGACCAAGAAATCCCATATGAGCACTATTAAATACTGTTATTCCAATTAAGAGAATTCATATAGGGTCTCCCTTTTTGTACTTTGTGGGAACCTATTCAAACTTACGACTCACAAAAGCAAGAAAAAATATTGCATGTGGACCTGTAAGTCTATAAACCCTAGTTTAATGATAAAGCCTGTGCATAGCCTATTCCACCTATGTTTCAACTCCTAGTCCCTTGTCTTCCACTAAGTGCAAGGTCAGAAGAGTTATTTTCTCTGTTCATGCTTGCAGATGACTGACTTATTTATAGTAAATTTCCTGTTTTTCCAGCCTTGTAAATGTCATACAAAATAGACAAGGCAATAAAACATATACATTTCCAGGCTAATTTTGCCCTAGCACTTCAGCACCAGTTGATTAGGCACTAAGAACTAGGAAAAGGAGGAGAATCGTAGTTAAAAACGTGTTTACAATCTTCACACTCCTTCCCTGCCTGCTCTAGTGCCACACACCTCCTGTTGAATGACAGTTGCCATCCCCATAATGAGATTTTTAATCAACATAGAAGTAATGCATTTTAATTAAAACACTCTCCTTTTCTATGCTTATGATCCTGATCCACAAGGGAGTTCCCCGCTCTGCACAGAAAAGCGTGCAGGTGCCAGCATTGACAGGCACAGGGAACTGCTTTCCAGACCACAAAAATATTTAATGATTTTAAAAAATATATCTTTCTATTCTACATTCCTGTCTAATAAAGCATGTAAAAAAACAGAAAGATGGGAGGGAAGGAAGGGGGGGGGGGGGAAAAAAAAAAAAAGGGAAACTATAATCCCACGGTAACCAGGGGCTTGGTTCTCACCTCCAGGTGAGGATGGTCCAAGGTTCAAGTGCCTGCCCTGACTCCAGGCAGGGTTTTGAACCTTTTTCTCCCAACTTCCAGGTAAACCCAACCAGTATGCTAAAACTCAGCTCTCTGCCCCTTCTTTTGACCATATCCTGGAGCTGAGAGACATTTACCACTCAATTCTGTCATTTCTGGTATATTCCCATGACATGTTCATATTTAGATTAACTAGTGTTTCCAAAATAACAAAAAGTTTCATCACAAATCGCTTGGTTGGGAAGGGGTTTTTTTTATGCACCTTCTTTCATCCACCAACACCGATCACATTGCAACATCAGAAGCTGTATTTTAACACTTCTGCTAAAACAATTAGTATGCAAAAAAACCCTGCCTAATTTCCTCATACTTTTCTTCATGCTTTTCTCCCCCTCCCGTCTGGGCAGGGAAACCAGCAGGCTCAGTTTCCCTCCCCACTTCCCACTGAAGCCAAGAAAAAGCAGCAGGGAAGATACACACTTGTTTAAAGAAAACTGGTTTTGTTGGGAGTTCCACGCTGTTGGCTGGAATATTTCTACTGACTCTTGGAAATGACTAACAAGTAGCCGTGCTTTGGTACATCAGCTCCGGGGCAGGTTTGAGCTGAGGTTGCCCCAAAAAGGGGAGCAGGTGGCGGAGGAGGATTGCACAGCCCAGCTCCGGCTCAGCTCCTCTCCGACAACCCATCGCTGCGATCTGCTCCGGTACCGGAGGTTTGAAGGACGGCTGTGAAACGAGTGCCTGCAGCCCTCCGGCTCTGCTCATCGGTGAGGCGAGGGACAAGACTTCAGGTGACGGTCCTGCCAACTGGCCATAAATTTTGTCCGCAGTGACCAGCGGGGTTGAACCAAGTACAGGAAAAAAAAAAACCCAACGCTCTCGCAGTACCAGCTACAGCAAAACCCCAAGACTTGGGATGCCTACATGCTTGGATGACAAATAAACTTTCCCCTAAGGAATCTTTTGGGCAATCTGAACACTAAGGGTTTCCTGGAACTAACTTCGAGTCCTGCCCTGGAAATTACAAGGCCATTAGCCAGGCCTGTTGCGCTAACCTGTTGAGTGACTGTTGCATGTACACGGATGTGAAGTGGCTTTTTTTGTTGGGTTTGTTTTTTTTTTTCCCATCTCTTATCCTCTTCCCCAGCCAAACTGGAGAGCTACCTGTGCGTGCCTTCACCTGCGCGCTGCAGGGCTGGGAGCGCAGATGTGCCCTCACCTAGGGTTAAACCAGGGGAAAAAAAAAAAGAAAAAAAAACAAAAAACACCAAAGCCAAGCTGACCTTCAGCCAGAGAGGAGAACTGCCCTCGCAGGAGGGTCACAGCTTTTCCCTTCCCAAAGGCGGGCAGCCGGCAATCCCACGCTGCACTTTTTGAACAAGACTCCACTCATCGCCCAGCAGCGCGGCTGCTCGAAAGGATGCTCAGCTGCTGGAGGAGGGAATCTCTCCCATATTCCCCCAGCTACGGGTCTGTCTCGGCCGCCCGAGGGGTCAGCCCCGGACAGAGGGCTTCCCCCCCCCCCTTCCCTCCCCCGACACCCGTGGGTGCCCCCCGCGGGGGAGCGCAGGAGGCTCCGCGGTGCCTTAGGGAAAGTCTCACGCAATCGCTCGCCGTGCTTAAGGCAGGCCAGAAAACTGCAGGGAGACTCCAGACAAGAGTCAGGAGGATGAGGTGCCCGTGCAAAAGTGCACGGAGGGGGGGTGAAGGTGCGCACACGAGTGGGCGCGAACGCCCCCGCGGTGAGAGGCGCAGCCGCTGTGACCGACTCCCGTCGGGGTCCCGGCTCGCCCCGAAGGGCTTCACGTTCGCCTCTCCCTGCCTTCCCTACCGCACTCGCCCTTGGCTCTCCAGCACCACAGGAGGGGACCCCTTCACCTCCCCCGCGGACCAACGCGGAGTGGGTCCGCACCCCCGTCCCCGTCCCCGCTCGCACCTTGTCGGACGGTTTTCACCACGATGGGGTCCTTGCAGCTCCGGATCACTTCCAGCACGTCGTAACGCGGTAAGCCCGAAACGCGGACCCCCTGTACCTCCAGCAGCAGCTCCCCTTCGCTCAGCGCCGCTTCGCCGTCCCCCGCCACCGCGCCCGCGTAAGGGAACTCGCCGTGCTCCGCGCCGCCGAGGAGGGCGAAACCCAGCTGCCCGCCGGGCCCACGGGTGAGCGAACATTGCCGTACCCGGCCGGCCCAGTGGTTCTTCTTCTGGACGACGCGCGACATGGTGCTGCGCGGCCCTCCGCGCCCGCGGAAGCGCGGTAAGCAGGTGCGCAGGGGGCTCCGACCCGCTGCCTCATAGACAGCCCCCCCACCACCACCGCCGCCGGCGACCCCTCAAGCCATCGCCGCCG